CACCCCACCCAGGTGCGCTGGCCCTCCCGACACAGTCCCACCCAATCCCCAGGAGATCCTATTTGCCAGCAACACCTCTTCCCAGGACCTAATTTCCTCCATCCCTCAGTGCTTAGTTTTTCTCCCAACCCAATGACCTCACCGAAGTGTGTGACCAGTAGGAGTAGTCGAAGGTGAAACTTTTGGGGGCATCTTTGCTCTGTTTGGGGTTGATGATGGCTGAGGGAACAGGAAAGGGCAAGGAAGGAAAGCCAAAGTCAGGTACTCCCAACCTGTCCATGTGCCCCTGGCATCCAGGTATCCCCACTCCCCATCCCAGTCTGCCCTAGTTCATCACTCCCCTTTAATATTCCCCACCCCCTCCAGGCACCAAAGCTAATTTTGGCTCCTAGGACCCGCCCCCCCCACTGGGCTGCCTCTCTGGATTGGGCAATGGAGGGCTCCAGGCCAACATTCCCCCTTCCCAGGGACTGGAACACTGAAAGGCCATTCTGCCCCAGCCCCCGCCCTTACAACTAGCACCTGCTCTGTGCCCAGCACAGCCTTCCTCCCTGTTCAGTCCAGCGAGACTGGACTGCATGGTGGCCCAGACAATCTCGCCTGTGCCCAGCCAGCTCCGGGACTCACTCACAGGTGGTGCTGCCCTGCATGCTGACCACACACTTGGCATCCTGGCTGGTCTCACGGGCGTTGAAGGGCCGAACCCTCACTGCCACTTTCACCGAGGCTCCAGCCATAGCTCCAGATGCTCCCGCCCTCCTCAGCTAAAGGACAGAGACAGGAGAGGTGATCAGATCCACTGGGGGAAACTGGACCTTGCCTCCCAGCTTCTCCCAGCAATCAATCTTTCCCATACCCTTTCCCCAGGTACCCAGTCCCTCAAGCACCCTGTTCCTAGCCCCCTGGCCTTCCTCCCAAATGTCATTCTCCTCAGGGACTCCCAAAGGTGTTCCTGCTTCTCTCCCCAGGCATATCCCAGCTTTCAGGGACCTGGGCCATCACCCCAGAGTTACCTGGCGTCCTGGCCCCAGACCAGGGGAGCTGTCTCAGTTCTGGCTGCCACCGGCCCTCGTAGGAGGAGCCCCATCCTACACTTGGGGCCTGGCCACACCAGCTGGGGCTGTGGGGGAAACCCTGGTTGTGGGGGAAGAGTGGTTAGGAGGCTCCTGTGGTTCCAGAGGTGTGTCTGGGCTTCCAAGGTTGACGAGCAAGGGATCAGGGATAATGTTAGACAAGGTGGGGATGGATGTTCCTCTGGAGTGGCAAATGCAATGTGAATCCAAGGGCAGGGACAGTGATATTTTTATTCCTCATCACTCTCAAGTGTACTGAGCGTTCAGATAGAGGAGAGAGGGAGAAAGAAAGAGACTGGACAGAGGACAATTCAGAGAGAGGGACACATGGGCAGAGACGCTCAAGATGGCAGGAAGGGGAAGATCGTCTGAAACCAAACAAGCCAGACATGGGAGAGAAGGCAAGATTAAGGTCATGCTATAAAGGAAATAATGGAAGGAGGAAAGGAGAGAGACACAGAAGTTAACACAGAAATGCTGGACAGGGATGGGAGCTTTGGGACAAAAGCACAAACTAGGATTCCAGAAGAGAGATTAAGAGACAAAAGACCCAGACATAGAACCTGCATTAAGCCCATCCTACCCCCCAAATCTCCTACACATAGAGAATCAGCCAGAAGTAGAAACCTGCTCCTACCTAGGGCCCACATTTTATACACACGCACGTGCACACACACAAGAGGGAGGAACTGCTGATGGACAAAGTCCAAGGGCTTCAGGTACAGCCCAGGACTGGGCTCCACAGGGCCCGCCTTGGGCCCCAAGCCCCTTGCCCAGCCCCCAGCATTTCCTCCTCAGGATCCAAGACAATGGGCAGGGCAGGGTGGGGTCATCCTGTATCCATCCTACCAACCTCCAGGGCTCCTCTGTTAGGGGATCCAGAATACCTGTGTCTTTCTGAGGACAGGCAGCAATGGGGACTCCTTGAAAAGGGAGAGGAGGGAAAGGAAGCAAGCAGATCCCAGCCCAGCCTGGGGCTATTGCTATGGCGTCCACTGCCCTGGGGAAGGTGCCAGGCAGGAGCCCAGGAATGTGGGTGATCGGGTGCCCACACCCTGTGAGGAGAGGCAGCCCACGCCCACGGACGGCAGGGTGGAGGATTGTAAAGAGGAATCAGAGTTGCCTGCCCCCCTTTTGTGGCCCCAAAAGATCTCAAACTCCTATCACTCCATGCCTCCCCTCACCAGGCAGGGCTTGCAAGGAGAGAGGGCTGGTCTGCCCCAGGACAGGAAGGGAGTAGCTGAAATCACACAGGCTGTTTCAGGAAGCACACCCCTGACCCCCCGATCCTGACCAGGGGAAGAAAGGGATAATGATGGGGACACGCAATGGTGCCATTGGGGCAAAAGGTAGCACGACTGGGGATAGCGGAGTAAAGAACTAGGGGTAGGTACGAGAGTCGGCCGGTGCACTGCAAAGGCGTAGAGTTGTTCAGGGAGGAGCGGCGGCTGGGGTGGGAGCCTGTGGACCTGAAAGAAGGCTTCGGGCCACCTGCAACGTGCCCGCACGTTGTTCTCACATAGGCCCCCCGTCCCGGCCTCTTTGAGCGGCCATGCCGACCCTGTCCTGCCCAGCCAACCCACGGCCGCCCCGGGCCTGGCACCTCTCTGCGCCTCCAAGGGACAAACAGCACATGATCCCGGCTCTCGCGCCCTGCCGGCCCCCGCCGGGTCTTCCAAACCCGAGATCCCGGTCTTGCAAACGGGGACTCCGGCTCCCCGCCCCCCAAGCCCGGCACATTCCTCCGCGGGCGTCCCCTCCCTCGCCCCCCCTCTCCCCCAGCTCTCACCTCGTCGCGGCGGGGTTCCCGGAGTGGATTGGCAAAATGCAAAGGGACAAACTTTCCGGAAAGCGTGAGACCGGGCTGGGGAGATCTGGGACCGGCTGGGGGCTGCCCCCGCCCCTCGCCGGGACCCCGGGGGGCGGGCGGCGGACTCGCGCCCCCTCTCCCCCAGCTCTCACCTCGTCGCGGCG